TTTTCATCTTAGAAGACCTTCTAGAAACAGCACCAAAATTGATAGAAAAGATAGAGGTATATGGGAAGGTGGCTGGTTTGAAAATAAATAAAGACAAAACAAAATTTTTGACAAAGAATATGTTATTAAAACAAAAGGAAGAATTGGCGGATGTTTTGAAAATCCAGGTCACAAATAAGATCAAGTACTTGGGGATACACTTGACAGCAAGATGTAGCACACTAAAAGAGAATAACTATATTAAACTCCAACAGCAGATAGCGCTAGATTTGGCGAAATGGGAAAATTTACAACTGTCATTAATAGGGAGAATATCAACAATCAAGATGAATATATTACCCAGAATTTTATATTTGTTCCAAACAATTCCAGTTAGGCTTGGAAAAGATTATTTTGAAGATTTAAATAAAATTGTGTTGAAATATATATGGTAAGATAAGAAAGTGAGAATAAAATTAAAACTTTTGCAAGATGCTACAATAGGAGGATTTGGTTTGCCTAATTGGGAGTTGTACTACCAAGCTACAAATTTGATGTGGGTTAAGGAATGGATAACATTAAGAACTACTAGATTGTTGACATTAGAAGGACGTGATCTGTTGTTGGGGTGGCATGCTTTTTTATGGTATAAAGGAACTAAAACATAGGGGTATTTTAGAAGGCAAAAACTAGAGAAACAAGGTATAAAGATGAATTGTTTTTCATATGTGCAAATACATTCTAGGTATGATAAAGATTCTAAAACAGAAGGTTTCTATGATAAATTGACTGATTTAGATAAGATTTGACAGGTACTGATGAAAAGGTGTTTAAAAAATTGTATGGATATTTATTAGAAATCAAACTATAAGAAGAACAAGTCAAAGAAACAATGATTGCTTGGGGGAAGAATTTTGGATATGGGATTGATTTAGAGAAATGGCAAAAATTGTGGTCTCAAAATTATAAAATGACAATGTCAACAGCATATAAAGAAAATTTGTATAAGATGTTTTACAGGTGGCATTTTCCCCTGACAAGAATAGCAAGAATGTTTAAGAATAAATCTGAAAAATGCTGGAAATGTCATCAGACACCTGGCTCATATTACCATATGTGGTGGACTTGTGCGGATGCTAAAAAATACTGGACTAAAATCCACATGTGGTTGGAAAAAATGACAAAAAAACCATATAGACTTGAAACCAGTGATATTTTTAATGGGAATTTTACCTGAAATATATAGTAAAGACTTGAAATATCTGATTGTAAATGTATTAACAGTAGCTAGGATTGTATTTGCCAAAAACTGGAAAAATGAGAAAACACCATCACAGGAGGAAATCATTAAGAAAATATTGGAATGCGCTGAAATGAGTAGACTGACATTTGAAATTAGAGAACAAGAGGATAAACAATTTTATAAAATTTGGGATCTATTCTATCAATGGTTAGACAATAAAATACAGTAATGAAATATGTAGACTTTTAGAAAATAATAAATATATAAAGATGTAATTCTTTCTTATTATATCTACAAAATTATTTTAGGATAGATTTGGGGTGATAATATGAACTGTTATAAAACAAACTAAGTAAATTATGATTATCTTGTAAAACATGAATGAATAAAAGTATAGTCAAATGATTAATAATGATACTAAGGTATTTAATTTTTGATTGAAAATACGAGATTATATGCAATGTAATTGTAATTGAAGACTACGAAATGGAAGCACAAAACAACCTGTAAACCAACTGGCACACTGTATGTATACATATGGAAGGTGGCTTGATGTTTTTATGTTTTGTTTGTTTATTGTTTTTAAAAACCAATAAAAACTTAAAAAAAAAACAAGTGGAGAAAGTTTGGCACAACAAGGATATTACCAAGAATTGGATGTCCCTCCAAATGATGATGAAAAAAACAGGTGGGGGGAGGACACAAGAAAATTGGTCAGACATACAGCAACATTAAAGTAACTGAAGGAATTTCTGGCATGTACTGGATATATACTACATGTGACAACAATCTCCCATGTGACAACAATCTCCCATGTTCTTCATATGTCTGGGCAGTGGCAAAATGGAAGCCTTTTCTTACAAAGAAAAACATCCAAGTCCAACTATATTTTTCAAAACCTTTCAAGTCTGACAAAAACGTGGGTAAATGTGTTATAAGACTAAGACTGAACTTTTGGATTATTTCCCAAAGTATGTTTTCCCAAAGTATGTTTGACACAAAGATAACAATGCACATCACTTAAAGAACACCATACCCACAGCAAAACATGGTGGTGATAGTATTTTATGCTTTGGAACTCTTTTTCTTCAGCTAGAACTGAGGATTTGGTCAAAGTGGAAGGAATTATGAACAGTTCCAAACATCAATCAACTGTGGCACAAAACCTTCAGGACTCTACTAAAATGCTGAAGAGGAAGAATAATTTCACCTTTCAACACAACAACCCAAAGCACACCTTAAAAACATCAAAAGAATGGCTTCACCAGAAGTAGATCAAAATTTTGGAATGGCCCAATCAGAGCAGAGACTTGAATCCAATTGAAAATCTATGGGGTGACCCGAAGAAAGTTGTGCACAGAAGATGCCCTCACAATCACAAAGATTTACAGCACTTTTGCAAAGAGTGGGCAAACATTCCCAAGACAAGAGGTCCCATGCTGACAGTCTCTTACCCCCAAAAACTAAATATTGTCATAAAATCAAAAGGTGTTTCAACAAAGTATTAGTTTAAGGTTATGCATACTTATGCAGACATATTATTGTATTTTTTTTTTTGCTGAAAGATTTCAGTTTGTTTTTCAACTGTATTGTACAATTTATATGTTATATTAAAGGTAGAAAAATTCTCAGATTATTTTATCTTGGTCCGATTATTTTACGGCTCAAGAACCTGGCATTTTAACAGGGGGGAATAGACTTTTTATAACCACGAAGGATAAGTTTGGTACATCCCGACAAAGCAATTACATTTATATTAATTTTATCTAAATTCTGCAAAATCCACATGGCCTATTTATGTCAATTTGTGTCATTTTTGTAATAATGTAAAATAATTACAAAAATGACACTAATTGACATAAGTAGTGTATATTCATATTTAATAAGAAACTAAGAATTACAGATACCCCATCCTGCAGATTTTACTATCTTAACAACCTATTAAGCAAACTCTTTTCCCATTTATCTAAATATCTACTTAAGCTTAACACTCTTGGGACAGGGGATCTTAAAAAACTGAGGCTTCTTTAATACAAGGTCCCCACCATGAAGAAATAAAACCCTCATTTAAGAGAAGACTCAATCAAGAAGTTGTGATAGCTTGTACAGAACAACTATAACGTTTTTGACTCATTTGTTCAATTAGGTTCTCTTTATCCAGTTTTAGAACATGTGGGGAGAACAGATCATGTTTTAATTGACATTTATACAAAAATATTAAATATTCAAACAAGATTGCAAACTTTTAAACATTATTGTTCATATCTTTGAACTAAATTTATGAAATTGCTTACCATTGAAAAGAGCCAAAAATGAGAAACCATATGTTTAAAATGTTTAAAGATCATGGATATAGCAATTTTCTATCGATCAGTTGAGACATGACAATCAGTGGATGTTGGACATACCCTGGAAAAAAATGTCACTTCATTTTTTTTCCAGCATTCACTATCAACCAACTTTGATTATTTTCTGGCCATGTAACTACAGCTGTTTCCTCTAATCAGATAATCTACATACAACTGCTTTCAAAATCTGCCTCAGTGGACACAGATGTTTTGTTTGTTTTAGAAAAAAAGATAGTGGCTGCCTTTCCTAATTCTGAAGTTTCAAACCACCCATTTAATTAGACAAAAATGCATGCTCTTTGAACAGTTGTTTTAAAGAAATGCCTTAACAGAAATAGCCTTATTTCTTAACAAAAATAGCCAGAAATATTTCTTGGATAACTTCTTATGTGCTACCACCAGAGCTGTTAACAAGCTGTAAATGAGCAGGATATTATATGGGACCTTGTGTCTCATTTGAAAGCATTGTCATAGAGTATTAAGTATGAAAAACCTTTCTTATAGGAAACCAATACAAAACTTCCAGATGAGAATTTTCTTGTACAAGCTTTCTGCCTTGCTCAGAAAATTTAAGGGAGTCAGATGATGTCATCTCCAGCTTGTAAGCTTCCAGGATAGTATTTTCCTATCATTGATTTTGCTTTTTTTTCTTCTCACTGAAAATTCATTAAAAGGAAAGAGACTGTCAAGTCTCATAGGTTTCTATCAGGACACTATCATTCTGGTGGGAGGGGGAAGGATTGGGGATCTCTATATGGAGTTTCTGTTTTTTGCCTTTGCCTTTGCCTTTGCCTTTGCCCTTGCCCTTGCCCAGCCCTGCCTTGCCCTGCTTTGCTGCAATGTTTGGGGCCTTGGGAGGAGGAAAGAATGTGCCTCAAGCCAAGTGCCTTATCTTGTCTCCAGAAAGGAGTAGCAACATTGCCTTGGAGACCGGTGTTTATTATTTCCTCAGCCTGAGTTTCTCATAATATCTTTATGCTTCAGGATTGGCTTGATGGTGTATTGGACTTTGGGAGGGGCTCTGTCTGCACTGATTTAATTTACTGGGAAAATTTAATTCCTTCATAGATCTCTTGCTATCACAATCTTCCAATAAAAGTTTCCTTTTGAAGTGGATTTTGTTTCAAGAGTACTGCTTTCTTGAAAGGATTGGAGAGGCAGCACTTTATATTAGGCAGGAATTGCCTCTGGTCAACCCAGAGAGGCAACAGCCCTACCGTGGGAACTGTGCACTCAATATCTACCAAGGCAGTGACCACGAAGAGGCTGAATGCTGGGGAGAAACCCCTCACCAAGACCCAGGCAGAAGAAACCCTCAGGCAGAAGAAACCCATCAAGGAGAATATCACCTCAAGCAGTGTTGCCAAGTCGAGGTGGTCCATCAGCATTGGGAAGAAGGAAGGCTGGGACAGCAGAACTAAGGGAGTCACCCTCATTTGTGGGAGCCACTGGCCGAGCTAGAAGCATCAGTTGGAAAACCTCTATGACAATGACAAACTGGGAGAAGCCCCAAGCCAGTCCAACCAGCTCCTGAGAGAAGCCATAAATCTCATGAGGGAGGCTGTCCATGGCATACAGATCCAGAGTGCCCCGGCTTGCGCTGGGGGGCAAGGATGGAGTCCAAAAGGAGGCTACCAATGAGCAAGGGGGGTCCCCAATCCCAGCGACACCTACAGAAGCCACAGGAGCCACTGGCAAGTCCACCGCCACCAAAGACCCATCCCAGAGGGACCCAGGCATGGGCCATGGGGCATGGCCCACAGCTCAGGAGGAGGAGGCTTCCCCCTCTAGAGTGACAGGCTCCCCTGCTTGGCATCTAGTTCGATGGGGATCCCCAGCAACTGGGACTTTATCTCACACACATGCTGACCTACATGCAAGAGGGACCTCCTCGCAGAAGGGGCCAAAGTCAGAGTCATCACTCTGGCCCTAGAAGAAGCAGCTGCATGCTGGATGGTGACCCTCCACAACACAGATGCCCCAGAGCTCTGCAACTTTAACCGCTTAATGACAGCCCTGAGATAGAAATTTGAGGACCCCCACAAGACTAGAGACTGCATCAGGCACATCAGGCAGGGGTGACAGCCAATCACCAAATACATTGAAGAATTTTGAGACCTGGCCTGCTGCATAGATTGGCCAGAGGAGATACTCATGAGCTGGTTCAAGGATGGCCTTAATGATGACCTGTACAATGCCTGTGTCACCCACAGAGCTCCAGTCCGCCTGCACAACTGGTATGTGTTGGCTGAGGAAGCTGAAATTGATCAAACTCAAAACCAGTATTGCATAAGCCTCACCAAAAGGGAGGAGGGAGTTGGCCAAACCTCGCTCTGCTGCACTGTGCTCAACTTCCTGCTTCAGCTGCGGAAAAGAAGGCCACTGAGCAGCTAGTGTTGCGCAAGCATGCCCATCCGAAAAGGAGAGAAGCAAGCCGCAGGGAGGCTGCAAAGCCACCACTGTGTTTCAGAGACACTGCCCTAAAGAGCCTTGCAGTCATAGAATTCCCACCAGAATTGTCTACAGTGCCAGAAACTCCGACCCCTCCAGTGCAGGAGACCGATCAATCAGAGAGTGACTACAAACACCCTTTAGCACTTAGCACTTAGAATTATATACCACTTCACAGTGCTTTACAGCTCTCTCTAAGTGATTTTACAGAGTCAGCATATTGCCCCCAACAATTCCTGCCTAATGTAAAGTGCTGCCTCTCCAATCCTTTCAAGAAATCATTTTACCCATCTTGGAAGGATGGAAGGCAGAGTCAACCTTGAGCTTGGTGAGATTTGAACTGCCAAACTGCAGTCAGCCAGCAGTCAGCAGCTGTAGCTTGCAGTACTGCATTCTAACCACTGCGCCACCGCAGCTCCTGTCAAACCCTTTACAATCCCATAGAACTATTAATCCCATTGATGGAGAAGAAAGTGACACTTAAAGCATTGTTGAACTCGGGTTGCATGAGAAGCCTAATAAGCCCAACCCTAGTCAGAGAACTGGGTATTCAACTAAGGTCACTAAAAACCAGTCTCTTTCTGCTACTTCGATGGGTCCATTTCGGGAGGTACTCCAGCCACGTTTGCCACTGAACTGCTTGAGCTCACTATGACAAAAAACATTGCTTTCATTGTGATGGCAGAGTTGGAGAGGCTCCTATTCTTGGGACTGACCTGGCTAAAGAAGTGGCATTCTAGGATGGATTGGACAGAGGAGACCCTCAAATTTCCTAGTAATGGAGTAGCACAGAGTGAGGAACCCTATCAGACAGGAATACCATGTAGCAAGGAAGTAGCCACAACCTCAGCAGGTAGACCCCTTCTGGGCACCCCCAGGGAATACTGAGACTTGATGAATGTATTCAGTGAAGTGGCTTCAGATGAACATACCTCTTATAGGTCAGAAAGGTCTTGAAAAAAATAAGGGCAACTAAGTTGTTTGCCAAACTTTCCCAGTGTAAATTTCACCAAGATAAAATAGATTACCTAGGATACCGAATCTCCCACCAGGGGGTAGAATTGCATCCCGCAAAGGTCAGGGCAGTGCTCAAGTGGGAAACCCCATGCACTCGCAAGCAATTGCAGAGCTTCCTGGGCTTCGCTAACTTGTATCAGCAGTTCATTCCCTCTTTTGCACAGACAGCGCTTCCAATTACTAATCTGTTAAAGACCAAAGGGATAGGTAAGCCAGATGCTTAAATGGTCTATGGAATAGCATTCGAGAAATTGAAATGACTTTTCTTGGCTGAGCCAGTATTAAAGCACCCAGACCCAGAGAAACCATTTGTAATTCAATCTGATGCCAGCGATGTGGCAGTCAGAGCACTGCTACTCCAAGAAAATGAAGAAGGCAAATTGCAACCATGTACATACACCTCTAAAAAATTAATTGAAACTGAACAGAGGTGGACAATATGGGGAAAAAAGCTTTTGCAGTCAGCTGGGCACTTTTAACTTGTTTCCTAGAGGGAAGCAAAATCCCATTCCAGGTCTGGACTGACTACAAGCATTTAGAAGCTCTCAAAACCCCAAGGGAAAAATGTCCCCCAAACAGGTCTGAGTACAGTATTTCCAATGCTTTAACTTTATTTTGAAGTATTTACTGGGAGGAAGGACTTTCTGACAGAAGACTTGTCCAGACTGCTTCAATACAATGGTGTCAAGGCAGAAATGATTAAGTCCATGCTCCCAGCCTCCCAACTAGCAGACAAAGTGGTCACATGCTCCCAAGCAAAGAAAAATCCCTCTACCTTAGGCAATACCACTCCCACAGAATTCAAAAAAGCCTTGGAAACAGACTAGTGGTTTGGTGGCCATAAGCATACCTGCACAATAAAGGTTGGGCTAGTTTGGTTGGGAAACAAACTGTATGCCCCAGCTAAGAAAAGACTGAAAGCTACGCAAGCCTGTCACCACTCCAAATTAGCTGGTTGGTTTTGTAAAGCCTCTACACTTAGTAAAACAATAATTATGGTATCCATCATTGAAGAAAGATGTGGAAAACTATATAGCAAGTTACCCTATTCGCGCTGCCACTTAGCATAGGCAAGGGGAAAAAAACCCGGTCAACTGCAGCTGGTTACTGACCCTTCAGCATCATGGAGAGATATTTCCATGGATTTCATTATAGAATTACCTGAGAGTTCCAGAAACACAATAATCTGGGTCATCCCAGACCTCTTCTTGAAGGTCCATTTCATTCCATTCCAAAAGATCCCTACAGCCAAAGCCCTAGCTAAGCTATTTTTAGTACACATTTATTGCTTGCATTGAGCCCCACAGTGCATTATTTCAGGCAAAGGGGTCCAATTCATGTCAAAGTTCTAGAAAGCTTTTTTGAACATTCTTGGAATGAATAGAGACTTAGTTCTAGTCATCATCTGGAAACAAATGGGGTGACAGAATGAACTAACTTGGTTCTTGAACAGTACCTACATTGTTTTATTCATTATCAACAAGGCAACTAGACCAAGCTACTACCTTTTGCAAAAGTGGCCTATAACAATGTGGTTCACTCTAGGACAGGTTTTACTCCTTTCAGAGTGGTCACAGTGCAAGAATTTAATGCCATGCCTGAGTTGCCCTCACATGAAACAGAAATCCCCTCCTTAAAACAATGGATAAGTCATTTGCAAAACATTTGGCTGGTGGTCCATAAGGTCCTGGATAAAGCCAGTACTGCCTATAAAGCTCAGGCTGACAAGAAGAGAACTGAATCTAAACCTTACAAAGTGGGTGACAAAGTTTACCTATCTACTAGGATTCTAAAATCATCTTGCAACCATCCAAAAAGTTGGGTCCTAAGTATATTGTTCCTTTTCCCATCATCTGTATTATTAACCCTGTTATGGTGGAACTGCAACTTCCTAAATCAATGCAGCAAATCCACCCCATGTTTCATTGTAGTCTGCTAAAATCTGAAATTACCTCTGACCTCCATCCTGCTCCTGCCTCTACTCCACCCCCTATTATGGCTGAAATTGAATAATATTTTAAAGTTCAGGCAATCCTTGTGTCAACTCGTAAAGCATTCCGGGCCTGTTCTCGAGTTGCCATAGGCAAAGTGGGGGCAGAACTGATGGAGGAGTTCATTGCTATGATCAGAAGCACATTTCATGCATACTATTCTCCAAATTGTGTCTCAAGTTACCAAACCCAGCGTGTTTTCCACGGCCCGTGAAAGTGCTCCATTAGATAATGTGATTTATAACACACCCTGGGAGAAGGGGGGAAACAGGGGCAGAGGTGGGCAGTAAATTACGTGGGGCAGAGTTGACTGCACTTGGGAATGTTGTTCCTAATAAATAATTGGATTTCTTTTGAACCTTGGCTCGAGGCTTATGAATTAATTAGAGCATCCATTGGCAACCCTGACAGCGAGCTGGCTCTCCTTTTTAAAACTAATCGAAATTACCAGGATACCTGGGTCCCAACCTCTCCAATCACTACCCGACATCTGGGGTGCTTGGAGAGAAAACAGGAAACCATGGCAGAGGGTGGATTATATGAAGAGAGCCTGCTCCAAGAGATACAAAAGGAGGCAGAGCTTACCTCCAACCAGGAAATTCCAGGACCCAGCAGCCTAATTGCAACCGGAGCGCAGCCCTCCCATGGACATCAAAGCTGAGATGCCTGCCCCAGCAACCAAAGCAAGAGTATTGGTGGAAAAGAATCCCTAAAGCAGCTGAGCTTGAATTCCCCCATCCTAATACCCAGCTGAAGGCTCCTGAGCAAGCTGGGAAGAGTGGATTGGATATGGGACTGGGTACAGGCCAGGCTCCCAAAGCCCTGGATGGAGACCCTGGGGAGTTCCTTAGAGCAGCTGAGGGAGGAATTTGACTGAGCCACCATTTGTGATGAGGAGCCCTCGTGCCACTCAAAGGAGATGAGAGATGTGCAGCTGATCCTTTTGAAATGAGGAGACACAGACGGGAATGCAGCCCCCCTTCTCCACCCATCAGAAGGAGAAGGAGCAACCAGTCCCTCTCCCACCCAGTAGGTAGGCACCCCCAGGGCAGGCAAACACTCCCGTCTCCGAACTAGGGCCAAGGAAGATGGCCAGCCACATCAAGTGCAGGCATACAGGGGCTGACAGGAGGAAGGAGGAGCAGTGCTGAATGAACTGCCCCACTTCAGGGGAAAATTTGATGGGGACTCCGACCAGCTAACTCTATTCCTTCATTTGGCTGAGATCCACCTAGAATGCTATGGACACCTCTACCCATTCCCCAGAGCCATGGTGAATTATATCACTGAGAGGCTAGAAGGAGAGGCAAGGGAATGGCTAGCAGCCCTACACAAGAGGAGAGCCCCCCCCCAAGTGCAAGAAGTAGATGACTTCCTATGAAGCCACTGCTAGGGGCCTGATTTGAGGAGGTAGAGGAGGACCCGTATGTGGAAGATATGCTCAGAAACCTAATGCAGAGGGAGTGACACATCAAGGAACACATCCCTGAATTCAGGAAAGTCATTGAGAAACTACCCTCTTTGCCAGAGCAGCTGTTAATGCATTTTTTCAGAACAAGCCTGGACAACCAAATTGCCCAGGTAACCATCTACCGGGACATCTTGAACCAACTCTCTGAGTGGTTCCAAGTAGCCATAAAGTCGACGGCGGATTGCGCACCAATGACATAAGAAAGCAACCGGACACTAAAGAGAGAGTCAACCAGACCAGAGGCCACCCAGCTGATGGGGAACCACAGCACCACAGCCGGTCCCCAAACCAGCCCTCCCACGAAGTCAAAATATAAGCTGTTCTGGGCTGGCAGCCCCCTCGCACTCACAGGCAGCTATGAAGCTTCTTGGGATCTGCAAACTTCTATTGACAATTAATCCCCTCCTTCACAAAGATTACCAAACCCATGATGGACTTTCTAAAAACAGGAAGCCCAGGAATGAAACCCTGCCCAGGACAACCCCACAGTGAGTCCTAACCTGCCAAAAGGCATTTGAAACACTGAAAGAACCATTTGCAAAAGAACTAGTGCTGAAGCATCCTGATCCCAAACAATCTTTCATCATCCAAGCAGACACCAGCAACGTGGCAGTGGGAGCTGTACTACTCCAAAGAAATAGCCAAGGAAATGTATAGTGCTGTGCCTACACTTCCCACAAGCTCACGGACACAGAGAGATGATGGATTGCATGGGAAAAAGAGACTTTCGTGATGAGATGGGCACTGTTAACCTGGTACCACCTACTAGAAGGGGGACAGAGGCCATTCGAAGTCTGGACCAACCACAAAAATCTGGACCCCACAAAAACTATCACCCAAACAAGCCCACTGGGCTCATTACTTGTACCCTGGCAAACCTCTCTGATTGTGTATTTGTCTCTCCTTCCCTCTTTCTTTTTCCTTCAGGTGGATATTCCATTTTTCTAGGGGGTTGGCATGTCAGATCCCATAGGTTTCTATTGGGACACTGTCATTCTGGTGGGAGGGGGGAGGCTTGGGATGATCTCAGTATGGGGTTTCTGTTTCTATTTTCTACTTTGCTTTGCTGCAACTTTCGGAGCCTTGGGAGGAGGAAAGAATGTGCCTCAAGCCAGGTGCCTTATCTTGTCTCCAGAAAGGAGTAGCAACATTGCCTTGGAGACCAGTGTTTATTACTTCCTCAGCCTGAGTTTCTCATAATATCTTTATGCTTCAGGATTGGCTTGATGGTGTATTAGACTTTGGGAGAGGCTCTGTCTGCACTGATTTAATTTACTGGGAAAATTTAATTCCTGCTTAGATCTCTTGCGATCACAATCTTCCAATAAAAGTTTCCCTTTGAAATGGTTTTTGTTTCAAGAGTACTGGTTTCTTGAGAAGATTGGAGAGGCAGGACCTGACAGAGAGAGGGATGGACAGACAAGAAATAAATGTACAGTGCTTCTTACTGGGAATATTAGAAGCTGTCAGTCTGGAAGCATATGAACAGTTATGTACCTTGAGCTATTGTTGTTTGTACATTATGATGTACCAGTACCACTGCCCTAACCTTTTCGAGAGTGAAAATATTAATGAACAATTGCTATTATCAGCTCCACTGTTTATGCAAGCAGTAAGAAATGCCATTACTTTTGGAATTCAGTTTGAAAATGTAATTATGAGTATAATGCTTAGGAGAATTTGATTTCTTCTAAAGCCAAGCAGGGGACAGCAAGTACTGTAAAAGAAACAAAATAAAGAGCACTCACCTTAGAAGAACTACATTGTTTGACATAAAGGCACCAATTGTCACATCTAGAAAAAAAGTTTATAGCATTTAGAACAAGCATGATTCCTGTCCTCCACAAATTCAAATGAACAAAAGCAATTAATGTTATCAGGATGTTCTCCTGAAATATAATTTTCCAGGACAATATATTCCTGAACATTCTCCTTATATCAATATGTAAGATCTATTTTCATTACAAAATGCTCCCATTAAATTGACTCATGTCAAGAAAGGAATAAAGACAATCTAAATAATATTTGGTTATTAAATTTAACATAGTTTAATTCACCATCCAGTTACTAAGCTGTAATATGAATAGCTTCTATGTTTCTCAGAATTTATCCTAGGAGACCAAGTTTCATGATTTGTAAATATACAATTACTGCTTATCTTTTTAAAGTTCACGTCACTTACATTCTTCGATTTCTACTATTGGGTTCAGATCTGTTTCAAACTTAGTATAGTTCAACCAACTTCCCCCTTTGCCCTAAATTCATTGAAAATATGTTTATTGTATCAAGTAAGCACATATTAATGAAAACAAAAGAAAATGAAAGTATATGAATCCTTAACTCTTTAGTTCCTCCATTAATTTTATCAATTTATTTGCATTAAACTGACTGTCACAGCCTACCTGGATAATCATTTCCATCCATATCAACTCCTCCAGAAATGGACTGGCCAAACATTTGCAACCAGGGATTTAATTTCCTTCCAGATATCCTCTGCAACAAACAATTCAGAACTGAAATCAATCAAACCAAACAAAAACATAATATTTATGTTTTATATACTTGATAAAATTCACTGCAAATTAATCTATTGATAGAATTGAGCTGATTGATTCTGAACCATTTATTATCTCCAAGTTATGCAAATGAGAAAGATGGTTTATACACAGGCATGTTCATACATTGATATCAATACCATCATATATATTTTATTTATTCATTTAATGTATATGCTGCTCATCTCAATGCCAAGCAATATATAGACAATTCATCCCCTCATTTGCTAAGATTGCATCACCTATTACCAATCTTCTGAAGACAAAGAGAGAGGGCAAGGCCAAGCCTAGCCATCCCCTTGAGTGGATATGGAAGCCTAGCCATCCCCTTGAGTGGACATGGAAAGCAGCCTTTGAGAAACTCAAGCAGCTATTTGCATCCAAACCTGTACTTAAACAGATTTCCCATTTATGGTCCCGGCAGACATCAGTGATGTGGCTGTGGGTGCCGTGCTTCTGCAAGATAACACCAAAGGGGCCTTACAAACTTGTGCTTACACCTCCAGGAAATTAATAGAAACTGAGAGAAGATGAGCAATTTAGGAGAAGGAAGCATTTGCAGTCCAATGGTTCCTATTAACTTGGAGACATTTCCTCTTTTGAGGTGTGGACCAGGGGTGGGATATGACAGGGTTAACTACTGGTTCAGGATTTAAGAGCTTCCCTGCATGCTGGGAGCCGCGCACCTGTAAATAGTCATCAGCAGGCTGCATGCAGAGAAGCAGCCTTTGAAACAGCCCTCTTTTCCTGCTTTATTAACTGCAGCTGTGCCTCGTTTGGCAGCTAAAGTTGAAAAATCAGGAAATAAAGATCAGGTAAGAGCCCGGGTGGGGAGGTGGGCAAAAACATCAGCAGACATAGAACCGGTTCTATGTCTGCTGCTCTTCAGAGCTACTGGTTCTACAGAGGTGGACAGAACTGGTAGAAACCCACCCCTGGTGTGGACTGACCATAAAAACTTGGAAACCCTAAAAACTCCCTGAAAACTGTCACCCAAGCAAATTTGTTCGGCGCAGTACTTTAATCGTTTTAACTTTTCCTTGCGCTACATTCCTTGGAGAAAAAACTTTATGGCAGATGCTTTGTATAGACTGCCCCAATCCAACAGTGCTAAGCCAGAAGTGATTTGTCCAGTCATCCCTTCCAAATAACTAGTTACCAGAGCCCAGGAAAAGTCAGACCTCGACCTTCCCAAGGACTTATGTGAGGAGTTGAAAGGAGTGCTAAAAAGTGGTGATTGGTTTCTGTCCCACACAAAGGAGTGCACCATGTGAGGTGGCCTGGCATGGATTGGCACTGAACTATACATACCCACCAGTCTTAAGGGGACTGTGTTGCAATGGGCCCATAATTCAAAAACTGCTGGGCACTTTGGCTTCTGAGACTTTACACCTGGTCAAACGGCAGTTTTGCTGGCTCTCATTGAAAAGGGACATAGATACCTATGTGGCCAGTTGTCCTGCATGTGTTGCTGCTAAGAGACCCCCAGGGAAGCCTGCTGGACTCTTCCAGAGTGTTGTCAATTCTAGCACACCAGGGAAGGAAATATCTATGGATTTTATTGTTGAATTACCTGAGAGTGAGGGGAATATGGCTATCTGGATGATTACGAACTTATTTTCCAAGCAGGTGCACTTTATACTCTGCCCCAAAATACCCTCTGCTAAAACACTTGCTAAACTATTTATTCAACATGTGTATTGGTTACATGATATTCCTGGTTGCATAATTTCAGATAGGGGGTACAATTCACCTCCCGCTTCCGATGGGAATTCCTGAAGTTGTTAACTCAGGGTCTAAGCTCCGCCCATCACACCAAACTAACAGGGCCTATGAATGTACTAATTAAGTTCTGGAACAGTACCTTAGATGCTATGTAAACTACCAGCAGGACAATTGGGCTGACCTTTTGCCATTCACAGAGGTTGCTTACAATAACTCAATTCATAGTAGCACTGGCTTCACTCCGTTTAAAGTTGCTTCTGGTCAGATTTCATCCCCATACCAGAACTGCCTCAGGAGAAGCCTCAGATTCCCTCCTTAGTGGAATGCATTGAACAGCTACAATGCATTTGGCCCTTCATCCATAAGGTACTGGACGAGGCACGAGGATCAGGCCCATAAGAAACAGGCTGACAAGAAAAGGGTTAAATGAAAAGAATTCCAAGCTGGGACAAGGTTTTCCTAACTACGAAGTACCTACAAACCACCCCAAAATCAATGAAACTGGGGCTCAAGTATGTAGGCCCTTTCCCCATAGTCAGAATCATCAATCTGGTCATGGTACAAATAGAGTTACCCAAAACCCTTAGGCAGAACTACTCTGTATTTCATGTTAGCTTGCTCAAGCCTGAGCAAGTATTTCCTCTTTGGCCAGCCCAGCCTGCCTCCCCACTCAGTTCCCCTCCTCATTAAAGGGGAACAACACTTTGAAGTCAAGGAAATCCTGGATTTCAGGAAACATAGGTGGAAAGTACAGTTATTTGGTGGTCTGGAAATACTTCCCTCCTTCACAATCTGAATGGGTGAATGCTCGGGATGTCTGGGCCTCCAATCTCCTTCAAATGTTTCATCAAAAATACCCTGACAAACTTTAATGTACCTTTACTCTCCTGTTCAGTAGGTCTTACTCTGTCTTTTGTTTTTTTCCTCCTCTACTGCAGGAGGGCCGAATGTCAGCATGGGATTCTCCTTTGATGCATGCTTGCTACCGGCTGCCATAATAATGGGGACGAGGGGGCATTGCATTTGAGTTGGGGAAGTGAGCAGGTGAGGTAAAGTCCCATGTAAACTAAAAAGGAGGTTTGCTCTCAAGAATTATTACACTGCTGAGTGAAGTTGTTTGCACCCTGTCAAGGCCAACTCTCCTAGGACTCCAGATAGGCAAAATACCTGAAGATGAGCTTCTCCCAACATCACACTGGATGTTGATTGGACACTCAGCAAGGGACCCTGGGGAGGGGTTTGGGGAAACTTTCAATCTGTAACTTTCACATGGTTTGAATCGGATCTTGCCTTGCTTTCACTGCTATCATTTCAAACTCAGTAAAAGTATATCTTCTCTATTTCAATGGAGTTGGGGGTTTCCTTTCTTGGGATTTGAATGGAGGCAGTTCTGACAATAGTAGTGTCTTGCTACAGGGATGGAACAACAAGGACAATTAATATATTTTTAAATTTAAGCATACAGGAACTATCTTTGCAAGAAAGTCATTAGGTCTCTGACTCCTATTGATCCAAAACTTGCAATGCAGATGTTCTGGTGTAATGACTCTCTGCTCATCCACAAAACAAATCTAAGAAACCTTACTGGAGAACATTCTATAGGATATTGGTATTTCTTTGAAAGAGATGGGAATGCAACATTCTGCATTTTTGTTTTAATTTCTCCATTTTCTACTGGCAAAATTGAACCCTAAATAAAAAAGACAATAGCCCTTCCCATTATCAGATGGGAGAAATGGGAGAAAAATCTGCAGATATAAAAGAGGGATAAGGAGCTTTTAAATCTTCTGTTCCAAAAAATGGAAATGAAGGCAACAGAAAGCAGCTGGACCCCTCAAATTACATTTACACAAGAGAATGTGGCTTGAATTTTTTGGGGGGAGGGGGGTTCATTTCTGCTAGGGTGGTAAGAACAGAGCTATACAATACATATCCCACAGGCATCTGCAGGCTATTAGGATATAAAGGTTGGAGAATAATTATACACAGCTTGGAGAGCTGCAAATGAAAGCAAGGGCTGCAAAACTAAGCTTGATAGCATTTATTTAATAGAGACCATTATCTGCCAGCTTCTTAAGGTATTTCAGGTATGCCCAGGATTTTGCTGTATCATTTGCTTTGTAAAATTTTATCACAGCATCTGTTACTAAATTCCTTTCATCATAATACACAACAATTGTGTAGTGTGTGTGTGTGTGAGAGAGAGAGAGAGAGAGAGAAAGGGAGAGAGAGAAAGAAATAAAAAAATAAAAAAATAAAGAAGGAAGGAAGGAAGGAAAGAAAGAAGAAAGAAAGAAAGAAAGAAAGAAAGAAAGAAAGAAAGAAAGAAAGAAAGAAAGAAAGAAAGATTGTTTTACAAAATCTACAGCATCTGGATGGTGCAGCAACCAGGCCCCAAACCTTTCACCCTGAGGTTACTGGTTCAAATAGAGGCCAGGTAAGCAGACATTACAAATTAAACATCTGAAAGTATTTGATGGATTTTTGATGCAAATAAGTGGCTGACCTACAGCCCTGGTCCATGAGAACATGACAAAACAACCATCAGAAGCCTGAGGCAAAAAAGAGAGAAAGACAAAAATGAGATCAAAGACAAAAATAGAAAATTATGGGCAATACATTTTTCTAAAAAATCCAAAAGATTCAGTGATTATTTTAACTGTCTGCCAATATTAATCTCCCTTTGTATAAAACTCTAATATTGCCTCAAATGTGAAAAAAGCAAACACTATTTCCTCTCCTATATTCAGATATCCTCAGCCAAACTAACATTATGCATCTGAATCAGTTCTGATGTTTCCACTCTCCTCTCCATAGACAGAAATAATTGTCTATGCATCACAAATTATCACTTTTACAAACTATCATAAAAAGGAATTTAGCATATGTTATTATGTTTCAAAGGAGAGTTAATGCATTCTAAAACAGTCAGCAAACACCAGAACTAATCATCTGCAGACTTCTCAAATGATCTCAGAGGCAATCACTAACCTCTGACTTAGCATCCGTCATAAACCCCCACCCAGCAACAAAGAAAAACATTTAGATCAGTATTTTAAACAGCTGGATAAAAAAAGTCTTTTTTTTTCCATAAGCCTTTTAGAAAGCAAAAATGCAACACTAACAAGCTTGGGACAAAAGGCTCATATTATGATCTAGTAACACATATTCTGAAAAAAACAGTATTTACTAAAAGAAGCAGAATTTGTTTTAACTTCCACTATTACAGCCAAGAATCTAACATGAAATCAATAGAAAAACTTTCTAGAAAGAAAATAGTGGAATAGATATTAAATCAAGTTGTTATTTTCCTTATTTTAGCCCATAAAATCTTGTTATGGCATGTTGTTTATTTTTATCTATCTATATAAAAACGAAAAAGCACTCATGCATCATCACAAAATCTCCAGAACCATAAAGCCTACAAACTTGAAATTTGTCACATTATGTTCCTCTTGGCTTCTAGGTGCTCACTAAGAAAGGATTTTTTGAAATTATCATCAAAGTATTATTATTTCATAGATTATTATTAACACACTTTGGTGCTAAGGAGTTCTACTCCCTCTCCGCACCTGAAAATAAATCTCTTCCAAATGCAAAACACAAGCAGAGGAGAGGAGTTTCAGTTTTACTTTCACAGCAGCAAATAGCTTTACTATAGAACAGTTGACTTAAGTCACGCCCAGGCTCCTTGCTGTCTCTTTGCTCACACACCAAATACTGTTTGAGTTTCCAAACACCCCTCAACTTTCTCACACACTGACAGGACGCTGCTAGCCAGATGAATAACAATGGATGCTGGTAGGCAGACGCAGAATTTTTTCCCCTTATTTTCTTCTCAGTTCAGACAAATCTGTTCCTTCTACTGTAACACTAGTTACAGGAAAAAGTGGCAAAAACAGAGAAAAAGATTTACAGATGCGATTAGGAAAACACAAGTAAGGGAAGCTGCACACAAGTATCATCAAACTCATCCCTAAGTCAGTAGACAGGCTGTAAAAAAGTATACATATAATAATCCCTACGGTAATCAGTCACAAATGAGATCAATGCCTTGGACTAATAAGTATTTCTCTGGTTTTCAATATGAACCTCAGATTCATTATTCCAGGGAAAAGGTTGTTGATCTCAGACCTCAGTTACCTCAGATCTCAGTTACCTTGTGCCTGATGCCGTGCTCTAAAGTGGCAGGATGAGAGTCCTGGAATGTGCTGCAGTGGCGGTAAAGTCCAGCTCCCTCTCCTTCAGCCCTACCCTGAACCCTTACATCCAGCCTTCTCACCCACCAGCATCCAATGGCAAAGAACTTTCTTTTTGCTATCCAGAAGTACAACGGATGCTTCCAAATGACATCTTTTGGAGCCAGAGAGGTGAAGGAGGGAAATTTTATGCCAAGATTCAAAGTGCAGAGGCAGGTCTACCACAGGATAGGGAGTATGATGGCGGGGCCTCAGCAGCAGCCTTCATTTCTCCAGATATACTTTGTTGGTGATGATGACAATGAGAGGGACATCCATTGTGGAATCTATATATCTAAAAGCCTAACTCACGCATCATCATGAAATCTTCAGAACCGTAAAGCCTACAAAGTTGAAATTTGGCACGTATGTTCCTCTTGGCTTCTAGGTGCTCACTAACAAAGGATTTTTCGAAATGATCATCAGACCATTAGTATTTCCTATATTATTATTATTAACACACTCTGATGCTAAGGAGTTCTACTCCCCCTCCCCACCTGAAAAGAAATATCTTTCAACTGCAGCTCAGGTAAGCCATACCCAGGCTCCTTGCTGTCTCCTTCTTGCACACACAGCATACTGTTTCAGTTTCCAAACCGCCCTGAACTCTCTCACACGCTGACAGGATGCTAGCCAGATGAATACCGATGGATGCTGGTAGGCAGAGGCACAATTTCCCCCCTTATTTTCCTCCCACAAAACTTGCCCGATCACATAGTTTCATAGCGAAGCATGGGTACCCTGCTAGTTTATTTATAACCCACCTTTATTATTTTTACAAATAATTCAAGGCAGCGTACATATCTAACACACCTTCTTCCTTCAATTTTCCCCACAACAACAAATCTATGAGGTGGACTGGATTGGGAAAGAGTGATTAGCTCTAAGTCACTGAGTTGATTTTCATGGTAAGGCAGGACTTGAATTCATTGTCTCCCACTTTCTAGATTGATGCTAAGGACTTAAAGATAAAGCATGAGACTTTAAGATGAAATAAAAAAACTATGCTTATGTCCCTTCCCTTTTCTCTTTTTTCCCCAGTTTATTTTGGGTTTGGGAGTGGGGGTATTTTTTTGCTTTTATTTCTGCATAATAAAGAAAAATCATTAATTAATCATCTTCTTATTCCACTAGATAAAACTTGAAATTAAAGCTTGAAATAACAACTTATGTAAACATATATGATCAATATTTTCAATGACTGTCTCATGTTGGGAGTATCAAGAGGGGAGGAACTGTACAAACCACTATGTGGTGACAATGTCGATGGCAGATTACTGACAATAGCCCCTCAAGTACATATTTCACATTTTATTGTAGAAGAAGGACTGGCAAAGCGAAGTGAGAGATGAAAAGAGGGATCAGAGGAGAATCACTACTGTAGCCACAAGGGAACAAGTCCAACTTGACCATTATCTAACTCTAACCAAGTTCTTGAGAATATTCCTGTGCAGAGGCTTTTAGCAATAACTCAGTTAAATTGAACCTTTATGTGTGGACCTGGTCTTTTAAGCAATAGGCCACTTTCTAACTTTTAGATCTGTCCTAATTTAGCTTGCCATATTCTTGCAAATCATCTTGTAACATTTAGTACTTACCATGGAATATCGAGGAATGATGCCCCCAATGTATCCATGATAAATATATACTGCTCCTGCATAGTCATCTTCTTTAGGAGCACCAATGGCAACATCTACAAAAGGCCAAACAATATAAGAAGCAATGGTGAATTCTTCTAGTTCTGAAGGTGATTTTTTTTCTCTTCAGCCTATCTTCTTTAACACAAAGATAGGAGCAACTGGCTTAGTGGCAATGTAATTTGCAGAATATTACTTCATTTCATAAGCACTGGATATTTAAAAACAAATAAATCCTCAGATTTGAATTTCACCTAATAAAAACATGTGTTTAGTTTCTATAAATACTACCAATTATGCACAGGAGAATACTTATCCATCTCGGCTTGCTTGCAAGGCAGATCTTAGATAATGGTAGATAAATCTATGAGTTGCACAGAGAATGTAATTCCCTACCACATAGCCAATCCACATGTTTTTGATTGTTTAATTTTGTCTACGCAACATACAATTATATCATTTAAGCTAGTTCAGATTGTATTTATTAATACATTGCTAAGTTGGTTAAAAATCAGTGGAAATTTTAATCAATAGAAAAAAAACTACCTTTAGTTTAACTAACAGGAACCAATTTTAGTTGCATGTATTAAGATTTAGGATTAAGTATAAATTATTTCTAAAATAGTTTTTTTTTATGGTCTCTGTTTTTTTCTATTTAGCTCCCATTATAAAAACTGCCCAATCGTTTAATCCAATCCATCTTGAAGTTACTTATTTTCTTCTCTTTACTCCTTTTAGACCATTTAGACAGCATTGGGGAAAATCAACTTCTTTCAAAAATTTGAGGTACAATATTGAAAGAAATTAATTTATTTCCAACACTAGAGATTTTAAAAAAGAAACCCCTGCTTTTCTATTTTACTTATGCATGCATTAGGCCCTTGGACATGCTTAGATAATAAATACTATTCTTAAGCCATAAATACACCCCCAGTGCACTTGTCTCTTCATTATATTAACCCATTATATTCATACAATTATGATAGTTCAATATTATTATACGTACTCTGTAAATAGCAGATTTATCTTGCTAAAGCAAGAAAGGACAAGACCTGGTGCAAAAGAAAATATACTGACCTGGAAATCCATCATCATCAATGTTCCCAAGGGATGCCATGCTTTCCCCAAAGTGTGCATTGTAAACGTTATCTCCATTCAGAACACATTGCTCTTCCATAACTCCCTAGCAAACAGGAAATAGGTCAGGCTAAGAAAAATAAAGGCTAGTGTTGAAAGATGCATGACCGCTGTAGGAATCTCATATATATGTCTTTCAGGAAACACCTGGAACATATCTGGAGTAAGATTCCTGAACTTCTGGCCATATGCTTCAGTGAGTGCAACTATTCAGATATTCAGAGAGGAAATCAGTGTAAATTTAAAAAGTACTCAATTATTCCTGAAAATGGAATCACTGGTCTGAATATCATATCAAAGACTAGTACATGGCAAATCTAATTTCTCAAAATCCAAAACACAGAAAAATCTCATGCATGTCAAAACCTCCATATGTGTTATAGCAAAAAGCTAAACAGCTAGCAAAGTATAATGCTTCTATTCTGTAAAAATGAACAACTGAAGGAAATTTTAATTTACAACATATTCAGCAAAATCTCCCATAATCACTGGAGCTGGGACAGATAAATCAGTTCAATTAGTGTTAAAATAACTGAATTAAACATGTTGAGTCATCAACAGAACAAAATATGTATTTTGTTTCTTTATCTGCTGGTGAACCATACTGATGTCACAACAGGATTGTTTTAGAAGAGGTATTCCCTTTTCTGTATAGGAAAACAGGGAATACCTCTTCTGAAGTATTAACTGCAGCAATAGCTGCATAAATAATTAGAAAACAAAGCTAAGTAGCAGTAGGTATGCAACTATGTAAGGATATAGTTAGTCAGGATTTCTTTAACAATGAAAACCTTGAAAACAGACTGCCCCCTTCAGTACTCCAAAACATGTAAACACCAACTGGCAGATCCTTCATACACAGAATATAAATAATATTGTATATTTGGCAAAGCCTCAGATGCAAAGGGCCAAAATACTTAACATCACAAAAAAACAAGCAAAATACAAATCTCCATAAATAATCCAGTGGATTCAAATAACAGAAGAGAGATTTTGACTGAGCAGTAGCATGAAATGTATGATTTGCTAGGGGAAGTAGTCTGAAAGGCCATTTACTGGTAGTTGTAAATTTCCTGTAAAAGCAGGGGTTGAACTCAATGACTTTTGTAATCCCCTTCAGTTCTAGGATTCTATATATAAGAAATGAGATTCATAGGTTTTGGAGACATGTTTCACTGATCTAAATTTTCCAAACCATGGATTTCTAATGTGAATTTCTACTATGGTTAACGCATGTTTCACTACAGTCTCTAACTTGTAGTATAGATGCCATTTGTGATAGGCAAATTTCCCTGGTCTCAATCTGAAACAGAACATAGAAAATTAAGTCAGTAAATAGCTGTCCCATTCTAAATCTAAAAATTCCTGTCATCAGGTATAATAATGGGCTTCAACATTAAGGATACGCAATCTTGTAGTCCCCCATTCCCACTGAGAACCTATTAATCTTACTCTACCCATCAATTTCCCAACACCAGCAGGAAAAGAGGCCTCTTTGAAAATCTTTGTGGGAATTGGCATCCCCCTCCCCCCACCTCTCCCTCTCTGATAGTATGGTATCAGAGTATGATATCAAGACGTTCTGAGGGCTCTGGGGATCCCTCTGGAGCTCCTTGCATTTTCAGATTTTCTACTATTGTCATATCCTAAGAAAGAAAAATTCACATAGGTTTCCTGTAAAAAGTAACAAGACGACAATCCAGATCTGCATTCTACTTGGGAAGGAAAAATCTACTCTGATATACAGAATCATATATGTCATATTGCTTGTTTTGCAACTTGCATGTAGATGATGTAGCATTGTCTGGTTCTTCAACTAGGATATCTGCCTCCCAATTGCCCATAATTACATAAGTGCCTTCCTCTGGGAATCAATTTCATCTTACATAGAAAAACATTTTTTTCAAAAAAAAAAAAGACTTCAAGGAGTTGTGGAAGGCAAAATATGGTGGGAATGAAGTGAAGTTACCCAGGGAGGATTTTTCAATCTCTATTGGTTTTTCAAGACTTAACCCTGAAGAAGTGCAGTATATCAAACACAGGCCTATCTATTTCAACCACTATTTTGGATTTATTTTGTTTAAAACATAGAAATGAAAACTCAAAATTGGCATTTTTGTATATTGTTCTGGAGAGAGGGAGAGAAGGGATATTCTTTGGTTCAACATGTAGTCTGTGAAGTATTTAATCAGACAACTTCTCTCCGCCTGGCACTCTCCAATTGCATTGACTGGGAACCTTGATAGGATTCCAAAAAATGGAGAAATAACCACAGAGAAGAAGCATTAGATCAAAATTAAAATTGTAAGTGCATATTCTTCAGGGACAAAAAAAGCTTGTTCAATCAGAGTTCCCATTCAGGGATAAGATGTTAAACGTCCTCAATGAAGCCCACATAGAATCCTCTTTCAGACTTTACCATTTGTTGCAAAAGAATGCGAATAAAGATAACCTCACTAAAATAATTCCTTTAAACTATGTTTTAAAAGAGGTAGTAATAAATTTGTAATGCAAAAAGTTAATTGTTTCCCAGGGCAGTCAACAGTTAATATGTGTTTTAATGCTCTGTTTTCAAGACTCATTGATTTCAAGAATTAATACTTTTCATTGCAGAAGAATGTTTATATGCTTGTACATTGTTTTTAGATTCTGTCCAGTTTCCTCACGATTAATTAGGAGATTGAGTTCAAGTGTCTGCCTAGCTATGAAATTTGAGCAAACTAGCAGCCTAATTAATGGCCTTTGCAACATTATTGAGAGAATTAATCAATAATCAAGAAAAGAGTTGAATAGATACATGGGACACTAAAGCTCAGTCAATATAACTAACTGGAGAAAAATAATTCTGCAATCTAAACCATGTATGGATGTTTCTTTCCAACACTCCACATTGAAGGCCCAGCTTGAGACTCAATTATAGGCTCAAGATCCAGATGGGTCTTGAGAAACTTGAACATTGGACCCTATCCAACAAAATGAAATTTAATGTAGACAAAAGTAAAGTTTTATACTTAGACAAGAAAAACCAAAAGTACAGGTGCAAACCTGGCTCAAAAGCAGAAGGAGAAGGATATTGGAGTCCTACTGGACAATCATTTAAATAGGAACCAGCAGTATGAAGCAGCAGCCAAAAAAGCCAATGCAATCCTTGGTTGCATAAAGAAAGGGATAGAATCAAGATCTTGTGAAGTATTTCTACTGCTTTATACAACCTTAGTAAGACCACACCTGGAATACTGCATCCAGTTTTGGTTGCCACATTATAAACTAAAAGATATGGAAACTTTGAAAAGAGTGCAGAAAAGAGCAACTAAGATGATTAAGGGCCTGCAGACTAAAATATGAAGAATGTTTACAGGAATTGGGTATGGCTAATCTAGTGAATAAAAGCATTAGGGGTGATATGATAGCAGTGTTCCAATATTTGAGGAGCTGCCACGAAAAAGAGAAGCTCAACCTAACCTATTTTCCAAAGCACCAGAATGAAAAACAAGAAGCAATGGATGGAAATTAATTGAGAGAACCAACCTAGAAAAATTTCCTAACAGTGAGAACAATTAACCAGTGAAATGGCTTGCCTCCATAAGTTGTGTGTGCTCCATCACTGGCTTTTAAGAAGAGACTGGACAATCTCTTATCTGAAATAGTATAGATTATCCTGCTTGAGCAGGGGGCTGGACTAGAAGACCTACAAGACCCTTTCAACTCTGTCATTCTGTTATTCTGTTACAGGTAGTTGTCAACTTATAACAGTTCGTTTAGTGCCCATTCAAAGTCACAATGGCACTAAAAAGTGATGTATGACCGTTTTTCATACTTATGACTTTTGCAACATATCTATGATCAAAATTCAGATCTTGGCAACTGGTTCATACTTATAGCCACTGCAGCATCCCAGGATTATGTGATCATCTTTTGCGACCTGACAAGCAAAGTCAATGGAAAAGCCAGATTCACATAACAACCGGATTACTAACTTATCAACTGCAGTGATTCACTTAACAACTTCGACAAGAAATGTTATAAAAATGAGGCAAACCTCACTTAATAAATGTCTCACTTAACAACAGAAACTTTGGGCTCAATTGTGGGCGTAAGGACACAATGTATATCTGTATATCTTGACTAGGACTACCTATATATCTTGAATTTTCACAGTTATGCTATACTTTCTTTTAAAACTTTCCAGGAAAGTCTCAAGCTTAGGCAAGCTATTGTGCCATTCTGACCTCAAATAACTCCAAACATCATGACTTATGATCCATTTGTTTTGAAACCAAAGCACAGAAATCATTTATTTGAGATGGAAGACATTTTTACAAACAGAAGCATCTCTGAGAAAATCCATATGGCTCATCCTCCTTCCAAACAACCCATGATCATCTCAGTAGACAGGAAACTAATGTTGATTATTTCCCCAAGGCAACCTCTGGGTCAGAGCAGTTGTGCAATGTACTTATTTGTGATGAAAAAGCCACTTGTGAAAACTAACTTTTGGGGAGAAGGGTGTTTCAGCAGAGTCAAAATAAAAGTAATTTCCTGTCATCTCTTTTCACAGGGGTTCATTTCTCAAAATTTTGCATGAAGTACTACTACTAATAATACCGTATTTCTCCAACAATACGACCTCCCCCAATAGGAAGACCCAGCATGTTTTCTAAGCATAAAATGAAATTAAGCCCCTCCCCCCAAATTTAGGCCTATTTTAAAACATGCAAAATGGGGGGAAGGGCTTGCTGTTAGGAGCGCCCCGTGGGCAGCAATTCCTCACCACCAGCTGCTCCTAATGGGCGATCATGGCAGAGCGCGGAGAGCTCTGCCAAGCACCTTTGCGGCAGACCCAAGACCTTCAGCGCCCGCCGCTGTTGATTTCCCCATGCCGCTGCCACGTTTGGAGCTGCCACTTCCACGTTTGGAGCACTGCTGCCGTTTGGAGCTGCCGCTTCTGCATTTGGAGGTGCCACTGCGTTTGGAGCTGCCACTTCCACGTTTGGAACCCCACCGCTGTTTGGAGCACTGCCCCTGATTGGAGTTGCCATGTCCGCATTTGGAGCTGCCGCTTCCGCGTTTGGAGCGCTGCCGCTGTTTGGAGCACTGCTGCTGTTTGGAGCTGCCGCTTCCGCACTTGGAGCTGCCGCCGCGTTTGGAGCTGCTGCTTCCGCGTTTGGAACCCCACTGCTGTTTGGAGCACTGCCGCTGATTGGAGTTGCCATGTCCGCATTTGGAGCTGCTGCCGCATTTGGAGCTGCCGCTTCCGCGTTTGGAGCACTGCCACTGTTTGGAGCACCACCGCCATTTGGAGCGCCGCCGCCACTCTAAATACGGCAGCAGCTCTAAAAGTGGAAGTGGCAGCTCCAAACATGACGGCCGTGCGCCAAATGGTGGCGGCACTCCAAATGGCAGCGGCACTCCAAACACGGAAGTGGCAGCTCCAAACGTGGTGGCAGAATGGGCAGAAGGGAAAGCAACAGCGGCGGGTGCCAAAGGTCTTGGGTCTGCAACAAAGGTGTTTGGTGGGAGTAGGGAGCTCTCTGCGCTTCGCCATGATCACCCATTAGGAGCGGCTGGTGGCGAGGCTGCTCGCGGGGTGCTCTAGATGAGGATGCAAGGGGGAGAATTAAGTCACCCCCGAAAATATGGCCTAGCCGTTTTTTCGGGGCTCAAAAAAATACAAGACCCGGCCTTATTTTATGAGAAACATGGTAGTAGTACAAATTCAGTCTCCTAAGGCATACTATGGCTGCCCATAAAGTTGCCATATTTAAACAAAAGAAAAAGTATTGAATCAGAGTCATTAAGTACTGATCCTGATGAGCATGACTTGAAAATAACTCCCTATGTGAACAGTACTGACATGTTAGCACATAATACAAGCCAAAATATGAACAGCAAAATTATTATAAATTCTGGCTTTATGGGGCACATTTTACATCTGTTTTGGAATCAAATATGATACAAGTTTATACTCTCTCTCGTTGCTATCCCAATGCATCTTAATAACCTGCAATTCTTCCAGACACATCCTAATAATTTCTTTGATCTCATCCATCTATATTATACAGTTATCCCTGAATGACTTACTTCCTATGAATAGCAAACAATACCCACTTATTAACTCTGCAGCTTGTCAAATATTCTTTTTACAATTATACAGCTTTCTTAATCATAACTGGCTATAATGAGAGTCTATGCCTACTAAGGCCGTGTATGTATACAACAGTAGATCTGAAGTATGTGATCCAAAGTTTCTGGAACTAGTAAACTGGAAAGGCTGGAGTACAGCAAAGAGGTGACTTTACTCACCTGGCCAAGAGAAATCCAGGCTTCTAAATAACACTGGGTCTGTTCATAATTATGTATTTTGGTATATTTTGCTACTTTTCTTCATGATTGGTTGCTTCATTTGTTTTAAACCTCATGCCCTAACAATTCCCAGTTCAAATATCAGAATCTCTAATAACAAGATTGAAACTGGACTATAAAGCAAAAGGTTTTTTTAAGAGCTGTAACCATCAGAGGAGAACGCTGTAATTCCACTTAGTCAAGTTTTGGTGACCAATTGTTCATGATTAATTTTCCCATGTTCTTCTTTTGTTGTACTTGTGTTTTGGTCTGTATTATTATTATTATGGTGGAGCATACTCAATAATCTTTAAGCCTTTCTCACTCTCTAGGGGGGTATATGTTTGTTTGTGTGCCTATTGTGTGCATGTATGTATGTTGTGTGTGTACACACACACAAATGTATGTATTTGTGTATACTACACACACACACACAAACTCTCTAAAAACCTTCTCATTATCTCCATCTTTAAAAACACTGGAAAAGCACTCCTCTCTAAGTAGGTCAGTAAGTAGGTCAGACACAGTAAGTAGGTTAGACAAGGAATAATGGATGGAAACTGAACAAGGAGAGATTTAACCTGGAAATAAGGAGAAATTTTCTGACACTGAAAACAATCAACCAATGGAATAGCTTGCCTTCGGAAGTTGTGGGAGCTTCATCACTTAAGACTTGCAAGAAGAGATTGAACTGCCATTTGGCAGAAATAGTGTAGGGTCTCCTGCTTGGGCATGGGGTTGGATTAGATGACCTACAAGGTCCCTTTCAACTCTGTTAACCTGTTAAGTCTGCTTGGCTCCATTATTGTTTTTCAATGTGTTCTAAACTTTTCAGTGCTTTTTTAAGGATACCTTCATTATGACAGAATATATTTCTTTGCTTTTCCATATATGTTCTATGGCATTTTAGAAGCTGGTTTAGATTTTTTCAAATGAAAAATGTCATAATAACAGGCTAAACATAGTAAAAATGAGAATAATCTAGGCTGGTAGACATCCCAGTATTCTCTTGTTTGTGTTATAACAGGTTTGTCCACTCTCGCACAAGAAGGAATTCAAACAGATTTTATAACATTCTAAGAGATAATAAAAGCACATGCATCCCCTTGTTTTATTAAAACTGTTTTACCCCTTAAGTAGAAATTGGAAAATTGCAATCCCACATTTGCTTAATGCCCTAACACCAAATTGACATAATACATTACAATTGTGATAAGTATTATAAAGATTTCTCCAAGCTGCTAACTTGGTTCATTCATATACTTACATTTCCTCTGCTGAGGAAAACGGTGACTTGACCTTCATCCCGAATCTCAGAAAACATGGGTGCTCCCACCAGCAGGTCTGAAAGTCCATCAGAATTCAGATCAACTGCACATAAGGAGGAGCCAAAGTAAGAGCCCATCTGCAACCAAGCCGAGTCACAACAAAGCATTCAGTATCTGCCCACACACAAGAGGAAATCACACAAGGTTTTGTCTCTTTTTTTTTGCAAGTGAAACAACTTACTGATCTCATATCTGGCAGCTGTAAATGCCAGTTGCAATAGTTTTATAATATCAACTGGATAGGGTAACCACTCTTATTGTTATGGTTGAACACCATTGAACACATCAAGATATATAGACTCGGTTTGACATTTTTATCCACTTATCAAGATCTGGGATAGGCAGTTGTTGTTTGATGGTGTTAAATGTATTGTTGAAAGATGGTAGCTGTTCCAAGTAAAACTGCCTTTTGCAATTGATTGATGGCTATTTTTTGTTTCAATGCCAACAGTGTTTAAATGGTGCTCCAGTTGTTTTCGTACTACTATTGGTACTACTTTTATTTCATTTTTTGCCACAACCATTCTATTACTATTTGAAGGTCTTTGTATTTTGTGATTTTCTTCAGTTCTTTCTCTTCTCCTGTCTCCAGGTACTGCCTTGTCTATTATCCAAACTTTCTTATCAACAATTGTCAAGTCTATATTATTATCATCATCACTGTTCTTATTTTTAAAAGCCTCACATCATTTCTAGCTTATTTTATTTGTCTTCTATCCCACCTTTCTTTTACAGCACAAAGCAATACAGATAGCCCCCTCCCACTCTCATTTCCTCACAAGAACACTCTTGAAATATTGCTAAGCAGCAAAAGTAATTAATTACTGGACTTCTGGCATTTCAGAGAATACCCACTAGCTTTGGCTACTGGGAATTGTAATTCTGCCTCCTCTTAAGGCTTACCTAGTCTTGCTTTAAATAAAGCTGGACTACTGAAGTGACAATGATGATGATTCACCTACATCAGTAAACATTTTATGCAAGACACTTTTAAAAAAGAATCAAACTAATGATTCTAATAATCAAACTAAAAGAATCAAACTAATGCAGTATAAAAATATCATTTGGATGCTTGTTTGACCATTGTCTCATAGATTCCAAGCAACTTACAATCTCTTCAATGGAGTTAAAGTAGAATTAAGTCATGAAGTAGATATCTATGGAGATTCTCAGTTATCCAGGTCATGGTTGTCCAAAGGTCCTTTTTCAAGAAGCAACTGGACTTTGTTTTTTTCTTCTAAGATATTTTGCTTCTCATCCAAACTGAAGAAGTTTATTGGATGAGAAGTGAAACAGCTTCAAAGAAAAACAAGAAAGTCCAGTTGCCTCTTGAAAAAGTACATTTGGGACAGGAAGCAAATGTGTTCTCAGTAATTCAAAAACCAGTTTTTTTAATAAGAAAACTAGGTCAGGAATATTGATAGATCAATATTATGCCTAAAAATGCATTGATATACAGTTCAGTAATACTGGAGACTATTACCAGCTCAAAAATTCATCCAAGGATTGAATCAATGACAAATTACTTAATGAAGAAGTTTCAAGATATTGTAGAATAAGGGGCCTTCAAGGGAACCAAAAAGCACAAGGGCAGAATGTTCATGTGGACTCAACTTTCTTCTCATTGAATGCGTCAATTTTTTTTTCCTCCATTCCTTTTCATTCAAGTCAATGGCCCTTCAAATGGGTGGGTATGGGAAACTCAAAATACTATTTAAAAAAAAAACATATTGTACAAGCATAGATCATTAGTTTTACTGCCCGACAGAAAAAGATTCATTCCATCTAATAATTTTAAATAATGAAATGTAAAGGATTTAAAATATTAAGCGGGTTTCATTTTGAATGGTTATTGATTAAGTCTATTTAAAATGAGTTCAACTTGAGAACTATTCCAAAGATAAAAATGGTTTGAAATATAGCTGTTGATATAGTGACAAAGTATTCTTGATTTATCCACAAGATATAATTTTTTTCCAGGAACTGCACTGATTTCTTGCAAATGTTCAAGTTCAATTTAAGATGCTAATTATTATCCTGTAAGTTGTGACTCTTGGTTACCTATAAAACAGTCTGCTCCAAGTGGAATTGCCTATCTAGTAAGAACTAATAAAGAGGGCATATTAAAAGTGTCTCATCTGGAAATATAAGCAAGAAGAGGTTTAGAGAACAGCCCACTTTACAATATCTTCCCTTCTCTGAAATAACCTACCTCTAGAGATAAGAATTAGTATTGCTCCTATTGGTTTTTCAGAAAGCTGTCAATAGGCTGCCTTTCTTTTCCATACAGCCTTTGAGGATAGAATGGAAATAATAATGTTCTTAGTGGGGAAGACAATGTAGGAGATGACCAAGTTGAACCTAAGGGAGGGGTCAAATGCATCATAAGTCATGAGTCCCTTTACACCCACAAGAGATCTAAGTCCACCCTACCTTGAATGTGTCTCATATTTCCCATGTTTCCCTTAATGGTCAGCTGGCCAGATCCTTGTTTATTTTCTTGCTTAAGCTTGCAATAAATCTTTATATTTGTTTGAACTGCCTTAATCTCCTATTTTCTCTGGCACTTGACATAGAGTACCATCTGACTTTATTGTACTGATTTATTTTTGAAAACTTAATTGTTATAATAGACAATTGTTATTTGGATTGAAGTGGCTGGACTGAAAAAAGACTGCATTTGGCAGATTTAAAACTGAAAAGATCATACATCATATGACTTGGTTTCAGAATTAATATGAAAGCATCACATATATATGGTAGTGGTATCAAACAGACTCTCTCTACATTATATGATGACAAGCTATGAATTGGAGGTACACAGGATGGAAACATTTTATGCAGTTTTCACAAGAAAACCCTGATTTAACAAGCTGCCCTGAATTGTGAATGTGCTTTGGATTTTTGCCAAGAAATGCTTATCCTTCATTCATTGTGAAAATAGGACTCAGACCAAAATATAATTGAATTGTTTATTTCTGAATGGACTATGCAAATCTAATTATTGTACTTAGTTAGTTAATAGTTCAGTATGTTAGAAAAATCTCGGAACTGGTTGAATTCATTAAACTAAGTTATTAAGTTAAGTTATCATGTGTTATTTTGTTATGCAAATAAAAGTTCTGTTTGACCAAAAAGTCGGATCATCAAACTAGGCTTTCAGAAACTATTTACAGAGGCTGCTTACTGTTTAAATAATTGTAATTCTACCTCCTCCTTAATTTAGCCACCAATTTTTCTTCAATCAAACTGAGCCCATACTTCAGCCAATGGCTTAGGTAAGTCATGCAGCAGCAACCCTGCCTTTCATACCAGTAGTTGAATTAAATGGACTTTTCAGTACTGAAAAGTTGTAAGCACTGTTTTACAAATCACAGTAGAAAGAAACTGAAAGACGAGGATCAATTAGATAACTCAAATTCTGTTTACTTTTCTGGGTTGCTGGACAATCAGCATCTAATCCTGTGTGGATTCCTTTTATTCTTTGCAATTGCATACAGCAGTGTTATTTTAATTTCCTAGACTATGAATGAAGTAAATGAATAATATGTCACTATGAATTAGAGCAATTTCATGAAGGAAAAGATAATCCTGTCATAGGATTGTCCTGAGAGGAAACCTAATGTTATTGTGAGAATTTTTTAATTTTTTGCCATTTACATCTGTCAATTTTAATTTACAATTTTCAAAAGTCAACTACTTCAGATTGTATGCCATCATAACAGAACTTCATAAAAAGAAAGCTCCTAGCATTATTTTTTGCAGCACAACTATGGTGTCACTCTGCAAGAAGCCACAGAATGGTTTAGTAGTGTACAAGTCAATCAGAGGTCATCTTATAAAAAATCTCATCTAAATGCCACACAACTCTGTTGAGCGCAGAAAACTTACAGAGCTTTTGCATAATTTTGCTTTACCTGATACCATAGGTTCTACAAATAAAGACATATATTCACTTTAACAGTTTGATGGCATTTGCAAAAAGGGTTCCTATCAAGCTAATAAAAATCCAGCACTAATTTATAATGCATGGTTACATGAATGGATGATCCAAGACATCTGTTTCTTAAAATGTTCTCAACTCAGAAAATTGAAGCATGAAGAAAGAAATGGGATCAATTGAGTAAACTCTTGCCTTGAAAACATTGTGCTAATGAGCAACCTAAATATAATAAGGCTTTGACAAGAACACTGTGGGATATCCTTTATTACATTTATTCAAAAGTTAACACATGTATTTGTTGACAGTGCTGGGTTTCAGGATTTAGTGACATGGTCTGGAAAACAAATTTCCAGACATTTTTGCCAGAAACTATGGCCGGCATCTTCAGATGCAAAATGATATGCTATACTGCCGCTGAAGATGCCGGCCACAGTTGCTGGCAAAATGTTGGGAAATCTGTTCTCCAGATCATGATAGTAAATCCTAAAGCCCAACGCCCCCAAACACTATTATTTGTGAAAGCTGATTGTAATTAAATATATTTTTGCTTGAGGGTTACTCACCTTTTTACCAGAAGCCTGAAAAATTTTGATCAAAGAGCCAGAATTCTTATCTGTGCGGAATATGTACACCTATGAAGTTAAAAATAATGAAGTTTTATCTCCAATATAATTAGATCAACTGACATAATTTATGCACATCAATGTGCCTATAATGCAGCACTCTTTTGGGGTAAACAGTGTTATATAAAGTCAAAAAAGGCATAAAATGTAAGAAGTCAAACATGATTAAAGTTTAAGAATTAAGAGAGAGAAGGGAAGGGGAGGGAGAGGGAGGGAGGGAGAGGGAGAGGGGGGGAGCAATAAAGCTGAAACAAGTTTACACTAAAACATTCATATAGCACTCCATACTATTTTATCTTTACAAACCATCGTTCTTTCCACCACTGCTTCATTGCTTCATACATTTTCTTTTGTTCTTAAGTGTCTTTTTTCTTTCTTTGATGAACTCCATCCAATCACAACTGTCTCAAGCATCCTCTTTTCCGTTTTTAAATATAATTTTTGGGAATTCAATCCTTTTATCTCCGTGAATTTCTTTTTTTGCTGGTCACTCAGTTTACTATTAAATCCACATTCATTCAGTCTTCATTCATTTTTGACCCTATATTATCTTGCTTAAATGCATCATTTTGACTATATTCAATTTCATTTTATGTTTTTCCTGGTATATCTAACTTTCACTTTCATACATGAAAACAGCAACATCATTTTATTCACAGTCATTTTTGTCTACTTCACCATTCATTCCTTGCAGTAATCCATCCACAGCCTACTACATACTGTCATTTCACCAGATTTAAATTCTTAAAATTCCTCTCCGTAGTTTCAAACATAAACAAATTTTTCTACTTCCTCCAGTTTAATATTGACGTGCAATTTTCATTCATTCATTTAGTTTTTTCCTGACAAACACAACTATTTTGATCTTTGATACTTTTCTTTTCACATCATTTTCCTCACTGTATCATACAATGTAATATTTGCTGCATATCATTCAGGATTATTAAACAAGGCATCATGACTCAATCTGATACTGCTCCAATGTCACCACAATCATGCCTTACACATTTATCCATGTCAACTCGTAAAGCATTCCTCGCTTGCTCTCGACTTGCCATACGAAGGGGGGGGATCGGATGGAGCAGTTTGTTGCTATAATCAGAAGCACATTCCATGCATACCTTTCTCCAGATTGTGTCTCAAGTTACCAAGCCCAGCCGGAGAGGCGTGTTTTCCACAGCCCATGAAATAACTTTGTTGGAGAATGTGATTTATGACACACCCTGGGAGGAGGGGGAAACAGGGTCATAGGTGAACAGTAAATTACACAGAGCAGGGCCAACTGCACTTGGAAAAAGTGCTGACATGTTGCTCCTAATAAACAATTGGATTTATTTTAAAACTTTTGAAAAGGTGGCCAGCCACATCAAGCGCAGGCTTACAGAGGTTGACAGGAGGAAGGAGGACCAGTACTGAAAAAACTGCCCACTTCAGGGGAAAATTTGATGGGGACTCCAACCAGCTAACTGTATTTCTTGATTCAGCTGAGATCCACCTAGAACACTCTGGATACCTCTACCCATCCCCCAGAGCCATGGTGAATACTCTCACCCAAGAAGCTAGAAGGAGAGGCAAGGGAATGGCTAGCAGCCCTACACAAGAGGAGAGCCCCCCAACTGCAGGACATAGATGCCTGTTAAAGGCCAGATTTGAGGAGGCGAAGGATGGAAGATGAGCTCAGAAACCTAAGGCAGACGTGCAACACATCAAGGAACATATCTGTGAATTCAGGAGAGTCATTGAGAGGTCAACTAGACCAGAGGCCACTCAGCTGACAGGAAACCACTGCACCAAAGCCATCCCCAAAATCAGCCTTCCCACAAAGTCCGCTGAAATGCTACAGATGCAGGGGAATAGGCCACATGATACCCAGCCCTAAAACCAAGGCCAGAGCCACCATCCATGGCATAATCGGAACAAGGCCCCAAGCGCACCATGATATGTCTCCAGGCTACAGAGGTCCTTCCCCACCCAGACAAAGTGGGGGTTCCCTAGGAAACAATGAGCAATCACCAGACTCCTACGACAGCAAGGACAAGGGCAAAAATGACCCAATGGTGAGTGAACCAGTTCACCCTTTTGTTTTCCCAATACACCTAATAGACCCAGAAACAGGAACCCAGGGGACTTTTCCAGCTCTAATAGACTCAGGCTGCACTAGATGCTTGATCAACCTAACCATGGTCCTGAAACTGGGGATCAGAGCAAAAAGATTAAGCCATCCGATTTGGTTTGAATAGGTCAACAGGTCCCTATTGGGGGGAACCTGACTGAACCAGTGAGGCTAGAGTTAGCAAATCACTGGGAAGTAATTTGATTTGTAATAGTCCCCAAAGTGACAGACAGAGTCATACTGGGACTCACCTGGCTAGACAAGTGGGGACTGACCATCTGGTGCAAGGGGGTAGTCACACATTGAGGATAGCAAGGGGACCCCAACTACCTCTACACAAGCAGATAGAAGCACTGCCCACATAGGGAACCCTTCCAAAGGACCCACCAGAACAACTGGCAGCCACCTCCGACAAAATCCCAGAGGCCGAGCAGATCAGGATCTCGCAGAAGTATTCAGCAAGACCCAGTGTGATGTTCTGTCTCCCCACCATGAGACAGACTGCACCATCAAAATCATCCCCAGGGAAAAACTGCACAAGTCCAAACCATGATGCTCTGGGAAATGCAAGAATTGTGCAAATACATAGACAAAAACCTAGCAAGGGGGTTTATCGAGCCAGCCAAGCCACGAGCCACAGCCCCAGTCCTATTCAAAGAGAAAAAAGGATGGAACTGTGAGATTATGTATTGATTTTAGAAGCATAAACTGTGTGTGTGTACACAATCCATACCCCCTCCCTCTCATGAAGGACGTGCTATCTCACCTGGTCAAGGGAAAAGACTTTACCAAATTAGACCTCAGAGAAGCATATTACTGAGTAAGCATCAGAGAGGGAGATGAATGGAAAACATCATTAAACTGCCCCCCTAGGAAGCTTCCAATTCAAAGTGATGCCTTTCAGACTGCAGGGGCCCCCAACGGTGTTCATGCAGTTAATAAATGAGGTGCTGCATGCTACCTGAACGATATCCTCATCTACACTGAGACCATGGACGACCACATACCCCTGGTCTGCCAGATACTGGATAACTTCTGACAGCCAACCTGTACGTCAAACTATCAAAATGCAAATTCCACCATGCACGCTAGACTACCTGGCTACCAAGTGTCAAATGAGAGCATAGAGATGGATCCAGCCAAAGTACAAGCCATCCTAGGCTGGCAGCCCCCCCACACCCACAGACAGCTACAAAGCTTCTTAGGGTTCACAAACTTCTAACAGCAATGCATCCCCTTCATGAAGTTTGCCAAACCCATGATGGACCTCCTAAAGACAAGGAGCCCAAGAATGAAAACCCACCCGGGACAATCCCCACAGTGGGACCTAACCTGCCAAAAGGCATTTGAAACACTGAAAGAACTGTTTGCAAAAGAACCAATACTGAAGCATCCTCACCCCTAACAACCTTTCATCATCCAAGCAGACATCAGCGATGTGGCTGTGGGAGCCATGCTACTCCAAAGAAATAGCCAAGGAAACGTATAGCCCTGTGCCTACATCTCCTGCAAGCTCATGGACACAGAGAGGTGATGGGCCACATGGGAAAAAGAGCTTTCATGGTGAGATGGGCACTATTAACCTGGCGCCACCTACTGGAAGGGGGCCAGAGGCAGTTTTAAGTCTGGACCAACCACAAAAATCTGGAAGTCCTTAGGACCCCATGAAAACTATCATCCAAACAAGTCTGCTTGGTTCAATACTTCAACTGGTTCAACTTCGTGCTAAAGCACATTCCATGGAGGAGGAACTTTCTAGCTGATGCCCTCTCCTGCATGCCCTAGTACAAATGCAAATGGGAGGAGGTAGTAGATGCCATCGTCCCTCCTGCCTAAATAACTGCCCAAGTAATCACCAAGCGACAATGCCATGACCAGCAAGGCACACCCACAAGCGATCTCACCATAAAACTTAAAAGTGAACTGCTAGCAGATCCTGGTTCCAAGACAATCAACATATCTTGACAAAAAGGGATGACCTGGCATGGAAGGGGATGAAACTCTACATCCCAGAATCCCTACGCATCCTAATCCTCCAGAGGAGCCAAAATGCCAAATCGACAGGCCACTTCAGGTTCTTAAAGACTTTACAATTAGCACGGAGGCAATTCTGGTGATCTGGCAAAAAGAAAAAAGTTGATAGTTATGTAAAAAGTTGCACCATCTGCGCCGCAATGAAAAAACGACCAGGAAACACACACACCCGGATTGCTGCAACCAGTAGCAAAGCCAGTGAGGCCATGGGAGGAAATTGCAATGGACTTTATAGTGGAGTTTCTGAAAAGTGGAGGGGAACACAGTGACCTGTTCTCCAAACAGGCACTCTTCATACCCTGCAGCGAACTACCCTCAGACCACCAGTTAGCCAAACTGTTACTGAAGCACATCTACTGCTTGCAGGGAGTACTACGAAGAATTATCTCAGACAGAGGGGTCCAGTTCACATCTAAGTTCTGGAAGTTTCTGCAGTCCACTGGGTCATCCCAGGGTCTTAGCTCCGCCTTTCATACAAGCATCAATGGGGGGCAGAGACTGAATGCCATGGTAGAGCAGTATCTGAGTGCTCTTTTCCAATGCACCGCTATGGCTGCATTCTCGGCACTGGCCCCACAGGTCCACCCCATTGAGCCCGCTGCACTGGAGGGACTTGCCCAAGCAAGTCTGAGCAGCAGTCAATGGGGTGAGCCTGCATGGCCGGCACCTAGAACGTGGCAGTGGTGGCGCATTGGAGAAGCAGAGCAAAGCCGGAGTTGGTAATTTTCACTGCAAAAAGCCTCTAGACTCCAGCTGCATCAAAAAAAAGACGCAGCATCTGGAGGCTTTTTACAGGAAAAATTACCGACCTCTGGCTTTGTTTGCTCCGCTTTTCCAATGCACTGCTGTGGCCATCAACAATTGTCATGCACACGTGCGATGTCACGTATGCGCAATAAGGACTGACTGGGCAGGGAATGGAGAAATGGGTGGAGAGAAGTGGGGCCAGCCAGAGGCCCATTTTACCAGTTCTCCAAATTACCGAGAACAGTAACGAACCGGTAGAATCCCATCCCTGAATTGTGCCCTGTGAGGGGCCCACCTCCAGGACTCCTCTGCTGCTCCCTTTTCTTCTTAGCACCCCTCTGCTACCCACTTGCCTCTTAGCACTCCCCTAAGTCATCCCACCGCCCCCCAGGCGGTGGTACCGCCCACTTTTGGAACCACTGATCTAGAAGACATCCAATCATAATTTCTGTCAAACATTTTAGCTCTTTTATTCATAAACATATAATTCTATTTCTATAGGCGTATTCCTCAATTTCAAAGATTTGACCACTTTCATTCAGACGTATTATATCATTCTTATTTCAGAGTTACATGCTATCTACTTTTCTTTAACTCATTTCATTCATTAATTTGTATTTTTTATGATTTACTCCTCTTAAGTACCACAATCTTCCAAATTACCACTAGCAGGCCCACATATATTAATCTCTAACACCATAATGATGCTGGTTAATTAAAGCTTTCACAAAATGTATTTCAGCAAGATACAGAAAATTTAGATAAAGTTACTGGCGTCAGTCATTTCTATGCACCATGCAGCATACCCTGTTAATAGTAAGCACAATCTAATTTTATCACAAGCACAAGTACATTATTTTATGTAAGTTGGAATTTTAATCAAGAGACTTCTTCCAAGCCAGGGCATTCTTTTTCCACATCCCACCAACAAGGAGGTATCTACAGTGCACTGACACTCACTCAGGATACTAATTACAAAAGTGAGGTGTGTTTAAAGACTAAGAATATGCTAAACACATTGCATGACTAAGTTTATACACAAGGAGACTGCCTTTCTGGTGTAAATGTTAATAATTATTATTTGTCATATATAAAATATTTTTCTCCAGAAAGCTTTAGTGCTTGAAATATTGTGCTGGTTTATAGCTCTAATTGTTAAAAGTACAAACTAAAGATTACAATTTAAAAAAATATGATTCACATTTCATCTTAGTCAAACTAGGTGGATTTAAGTAGCTATAATCCTTCATTCCAAATAATATTTGAGGATAGTAACAGCAATCTATTTTACAGGGTTAATAGGTAGCCCATGTTCAAAAATTAATGATCTTATGCATGGCATATATGAGATGTCCACTCAGAAGCAATTGGGCTGTTTGCCTAAAGTAAGCCAGAATTTCATATACTGGCCTACAAGTCAGTACTGGCTCTTGATCTACAAGATATGCTATAGACTTGAGTCTCACAACTATCTTGCTTAATGTGGTAGAGTAGCAATTAAAGAGTTAGGCCTCCATATGTAACTTATACAGCATTCCTATCCTGGGTCATATATTGTAGTGCTCTATATTAAAGATCAAATTCCTTCCTAGACTTGGAGGAACATGTGGCTACACAAAGCTATAACATAGTTTATTTTTTGGCTCTGGGTGATGTAGAAATGGAGAGCCATGAATATGCCACAGTACAGAAATAAAATCAGTTGGAGAGTTGTGATTAGCTTCCTGATTTCAACTTGGTACTTAATGAGATATAAAAACATGGGCTTTTTTGTGGTTTACCAGTTTATTCCTATATTATGTTTCTGCTCTGTCTATCTAATCCATGAGAGCATTAGGCAGTCAAAAAAAGGGAGGGAACAAAATCCAAAATCTGACTGCATGTGCAATAAGGACTGACTGGGCAGGGAATGGAGGAACGGGCGGAGAGGAGGACTTTTATGTTTTGCTTATCTGCAAAAGTAATTCTGATTCGTTTCAGGCTTGCTAAAAATGATTAAAATAAACTAGAGGTTAAATGCAATATTTGCACAAATATACAGATTGCATATAGTAGTGATTTTTATGCAAGTCACTCTAAAGCCGGGTTGTCAAACTCAAGGCCCGCAGGGTGCTTAAATCTGACCCACGCGGCCAGCCTGGAAATATCAAAGGACTGACCCGCAGTGCTCTGCTGGCCAAAACAGGCCATGGGGGGACTGCATGTGGCCTCCCTGCGGCCCGTTTTTAGACTCCATGGTTTCCAACAGCACTCTGCCAGCCAAAAATGGGCCATGCGGAGGCCCCGAGAGGCCCACACACGGCCTGTTTTGGCCTCTCCAGCCTCCAAAAGCATTCTGCTGTACTCTCTTAGCAGTGTCAAACTTTTTGAGAGTATCCCAGTGTCAGATTGAAGCAGCAGAGGAGGAGAAACACCCTACACGGGAACACCCTACACCCTACATCAGGAATCTGGCCTTTATGAATCTTATTCCCTGCATGCAAGTTTCCTGTCTGCCAGTTAGTTGGAAGTTAGTTTTAATTCAAGTTTTTAGCTTGTTGGGTTTTGCCTCTCACCTAAATCCTAAGAAAAGCCTTTGGAATTAGCTTTTCCCTACAGATCCTTTGGCTCCTTCCTTCACCTTCCTCCTTTCCCACAGTGTCATCCCCAGACTCACTGGAAGAATCCCCTTCCCCCCTTAAGCAACAGGAAAAATATTGGGAGAGTTTCCTTGGTGGCAGCAGAAGAGAGAAAACTCAGCTAATTAATACTGGAAACACAAAGCAATGATTTTTGTTACTCAGATAAGTGTGTTTGTCTGGGTTTTTTTAAAAAGAAGAAATAAAAAAAACAGTCACAATCTATCACAGCCTCCCAAAACTAGTGTTCCTGGAGAGGACAGATGCAGCGCCTCTCATCCCTGCCAGCAGGAGGGGCTCCAGGTTGGGGGATATGTGATGGAAGCGATTTATTTTTATTCTTGTCTTTGGCTGGGGGCACAGGAGATGTGATGTTAAGTGATCTTGTACCTCCTCCGCTCATCATGGCCATCCCATCTACATCAATCGTGACCATGCCAACCGCTGCTCCCACACACACACCCAGCCATTCGAGGTCAAACACAACCCTGATTCTGCCCTCAATACTCTAAAGGATGGAAATCTATGGTTTATTAGGTCATCCTTATCAAGAATATCGAAGTTCCTGATTAAAAAATTAATTCTGCTAGAGTCAATGAAAAACTGCTAATTTGAATAAACAATATTGGATTGAGTAATACAAAGTTTTTCTAAATCTTTGGTCTTGATTACTGCAAACCAAGTATTCATCAAAAATGATAATATACATGGTAGCCACAGCTTGAATTTACAATGAATTATGTGATTTTAAAAAAGGAAGGTTGATCTATTTACTGCTGCTAGAAAATGGGTGATGAGATTCTCAGAACAATGAGAATAGGACCACAAGAGAAGGAAAGACTTGAACAAACTAGATATTATTAATTATTCTCCTTCTGTTACTGGCAATAAAACATTTTCAGGACTATTCTTCAAACTGCTGCAGCCCCACACTTCTTGTCCATTTTCTCCTGGATGAACTATGAGCTGAAGCTTAATCAACAGCCAAACCTTTCCAACGCCTCCATCCTGGGGAGCTCCTCCAACGACGTCCATGGTCATCAGCTGAGAGAAGTGACCTGCTGCCACTGCATATCCTGAGTGGGGCATTTTAAGGATGGACAATCAGAGAGAAAAACTGACCAAAAATATCAGCAAAAAAATGGAAATGAAGCCAAGTCTTAGGTCATCTAGCTGGATAAAGCATTTCCCCCTTCTCTCAGTAGAAGTTAGACTCAAGCAAAACACCGCCAAATTCTTTAAGAGCCTTACTTTTCTGGAACAGGAAATGCACTGTCCAGGTTTGAAATAATAAGCAAGTTTTACCTAACAATAAGATGTAAGCAGGAGACAGATAAGAACAGAAATTTAAATCAGAAAAGGTACCAGAACAGTTGATGGTTATTATTGAAAAGAAATAAAGGGCAATAAAAGAGAAGAAGAGTATTAAAACTGAAAAACAGTTTTTCAGGTGTAAAACAGATAATTTCTATGACATTACTGATTGAATTGAATATTGCAAATAGCAGATGTTAGAAAAGCAATCAACATATGGAATACATGATAACTTTTTATCCAATTCCCAAAATACTATAACCCATGCTCCTCAAATGAAAATGGATTATGAGAGATTAAAGTCAGTTAAAAAGAAATTATTCACAGAGAAACAAGTGGGACAGCATAACTCACCACAAAATATAGTGAGTTAGAAACTTGGTTTGACTTTACTGAGTCATTAAACAAGTTCATAGAGGTCAATGTTCTTAGATTTCACTGGCTATACATTTATGCATGTGGGGATCTATTTACCATCAATATTCAAAACCAATAATAATTTGAAAATTGTTGTGCTTTGCTTACCTAGATATATGTAACGCTTGGCTATCACAGATTCATCTTTCAATTTGAAATATGTATTATCAGTGAGATTCAATACTTTGATCGTTCCTGTCCAATAGTAAGACCCTGGAGCTCCCATGATAACCAACTCCTATCAAAAGAAGAGTTTTGTCATGTTAAATCTCTATAGTCAATGAAAATAAATATTTGAGATTCCTCATGCATACCTAAATCCAGAAACAGAAAATACATTGGAGTCATGGGAATAAACTCTGAAAATGTAGAAAAGAGTATAATAGAATAATCTGCTTCTCTCCTACTCTTCTCCACACCAACAAATATCCTGATCCTACTGGCCTTTCAGAAGGCATTAAGATTTTATTTGTTTATTTATTTGATTTGTCAACCACTTACAAGATAATAGGTATAAGAATAAACATGAGTATGAATATAAGAAATAGGTATGACTAAATGGGGACAACAGGACAGGGATGGTAGGCACGATTGTGCAAATACATGGATACATATAAGAAAAATAAAAGAAACAATAGGATAGGGACGTTGGATGTTGGGCTTATGCACACCCCCTACAGACCTCTTAGGAAAGGGGTGAGGTCAATAGTAGAAAGTCTAAGGTTAAAGTTTTTGGGGTTTGGGGAAGAAACCAGAGAGTCAGGTAGAGTATTCCAGACATTGACCACTCTGTTGCTGAAGTCGTATTTCCTGCAATCAAGTTTGGTGTGATTAACCTTGAGTTTGTATCTATTGTTTGCTCTTGTATTGTTATGGTTGAAGCTGAAGTATTCATTGACAGGTAGGACATTGCAATGTATGATTTTATATACCATACTTAGATCGGACCAAAGGCGGCGTAGTTCTAGGTTTTCTAGGTCTAGAATTTCAAGTCTGGTGGCATAACATATTCTGCAACGAGTAGAGGAGTGGAGAACTCTTCTTGTGAAATATTTCTGGACTTTCTCAACTGTGTTAATATCAGATACGTAATGTGGGTTCCAGACTGATGAGCTGTATTCAAGTATTGGTCTAGTAAATGTTTTCTATGCTCTAGTTAGTAGTGTGATATTACCAGAGAAAAAGCTACGTAGGATTAGGTTAACAACTCTTAATGCCTTTTTGGCTATATAGTTACAGTGGGCTCTAGCACTTAGATCATTAGAGATGAGCACTCCAAGATCCTTGACAGAGTTTGGATCATCAACAAGATCTTGACTATTCAGCCTGTATTTTATTTCCTGATTATTTTTTTTTGCCAATATGTAAGACAGAGCATTTACTTGTTGAGATTTGAAGTTGCCATTTGTTTGACCATTCTGATACATAGTCGAGGGCTTTTTGGAGGGTAGTAGTATTGTCTGTGGTGTTGAATAGCTTTACAATGTCAGCAAAGTGAACACAGTTGCTCTTAATATGATCACAGAGATCATTTATGTAGAGCAGGGGTCCTCAACCACCAGGCCGCGGACCGGTACTGGTCCGTGGAGCACTCTGTACTGGGCCGCAAAGAAAAAAAAATTAAAAAATGGCGACTTTCTTCGCCTTCGGTGAATGCTGCTGGGATCGGGGATCAAGGACACAAATGAAAGAAGGGGAGGGAAGAAGCAACCGAAGCCTGTCCTGCTCTCTGGCTCAGCGGCTTCGGTTTCCTCCCGTCTCATTCCTCTCTCAGTCGCTCTCTCGCTGCTCCACCAGCCCAGGAAAAAACTGCTTCAAAGAAGCTGGGGGGGGTGGCTTTTCCTGTCGCCGCAGCTCCTCCGAAGCGCCCGTTTACCCCCACCCCACCCGCCCGCGCGCGGTTCAATTCAGTGCCCCGTTCTGCCTGCCTGCCTGCCTGCCTTCTTCGTTTCGGAGCAGCTTCGGCTGAGAATAATAACTATTTGCCTCTTTTTATCAGCCGAAGCTGTAGGCACATATTCCTTCCAGTCCAATAGATAAAGATGGTTTTAGATTGCATAGTGCTTTTTCAACATTGTCTTCTGTAAAATCAATATGTATTAGATCATTGTAGTTGTCAGTGGTTCAATTAGGATAGCGGTGAGAAAATTTTGGTGGGCCACAGAGAAATCTCACCCCCAGAGCACCTCCAAAAGCAATTAATCCAGGCTGTGCAGAAACACAAAGTTGCTCAGCCCACATGGCCTGCGGGAACCCTCCCTGCCAACTCACTCCTTACCCGGCAAACTTGTCTGCTAAACTGCTATTTTTCCTTTTTCCGACCATCATCTGTTCTGCTGTGCCGGGAGATTCAGATTAGCTAGAAGCAGGAAATGGTTGGATTTCTTGCTTTCTAGCTAGTCTTTAGATCTTCGGCTCAGCACAGTCGACCTCCTTAGGACTGAAGGTCTGCTTGCAAGCAAATTCAATGCAGACTCACGGCAAGCAAATTTGAGAGACTGAGCTAGCTGATGGCAGATAGATCATTGAATGATTTTGTGAGCAACTCAATCTACTTGCTTTGCCTGATTTTGGGTAAAAGTTGCTCTTTTTTTTACAAAAAATTCAATATTTACATGCATGGTGTGTTGTGAGTTAATTTTGTGAGTTTGCTTGCTAGCAAATTTTATGAGTTTGCAACTAGTCCAGGTTGGCAACCCCTGGACTAGGAAATACTGGGCATGATCCATTGCTGTTTACAAATACTGAGCCAAATAATGTGTTAAAGAGGTTGGCTTTAATGGTGTCATCATTGCAGTCTTTACCATTAGGTCCTTTCAGGGGTTGGATACACCTTGTCTTTTAGTTTGTTGTTTACAAAATTGTAGGAAGTGTGGGTGCAATTGGTGTGTAGAAGGTTTTCCTCTTGTTTAATGTGATAATTGGTGCATTCAGTCTTTATCTGGTGGCATAAATTTTTGTATCGGCTTTTGAAGTTGGCAACGTGACCAGATTTGTTTTTCTGCCAAAGTGATCTCTTTTTGGATTGTAGCTTCCTTATTGTTATGGGTAATTTGTTTTTTCTGGTTTTTGGAGTTGTTCTTGGTACATATAGTTCGATGACGCTTTTGACTTCAAGTAAAAATATGTTGTAATGGTCTTCAACAGTATTGCATCCAGTGAATAGAAATTGCCAATCAAGGGATAAGAGATCGTTGTCTATAAGATCATAGTTGCCTTTTTTGAAGTTATAATTGGGGATCACATCATTGTGATTTTTGTCTGGACGTATGTTGAGACAAAAGTCAATCATGCTGTGGTCACTGTTGGAAAAGGGTTCTCTAATTTGTATTCTGTAAATTGAATTCAAACTGTTGCAGAAGATGAGATCGAGGCAGTTGTTAAGTCTAGTATTGTTGGTTACTAGTTGTTCCAGTCCCAGGTTTGTTACAGCATTGTAGAAGGTTCATGTATGGGTTCAGTTGTACATTCTTTTAGGTCCAGTTAATGTGAGGTAGATTGAAGTCACCAAGAAAGATAAAAGTGTGTGGGCAGGATGTTGCCCATGTTAGTAGTAAACTTAGCTTGTTTACATGTTCGATGTCATAACCAGGTGCTCTGTAACATAGTAAGAATCGAAATGTGATATTTAAGGACAATTCACAGACGATGGTCTCAGGAAGAGCAAGCTCTTGGGTAACTTGGATGTTTTTTCGATGTAAGGACTTTTTATAGAAGATAGCAACACCTCCTCCTCTACGGATTTCACGATCTGATCAGTAAACATGATAGTCTTTTACTGTGGTAATGGAGTCAGGGAGAGATGCATTGAGCCATATTTCACAGACAAATATGATGTCGAATTTAGCCATATTTACTAAGAAGAGAAATTCAGGTATTTTATTCACAAGGCTTCTTGCATTGAGTAGCTTGCATTTAAGGCTAGTTGTAGTTGGAATTGAGGTAGTTAGGGGTATGCGTGCCTAGTTTTGAGTGATGGTGAGTTGGATGAGGTAGGGTTGGATGTGGAGTTGTAGGTTGTGTGACTTACTTTTATACAATCAGCGCGGTAGTCAATGTACAGATCCTTCTCTCCATTGTCTAGACGTCTTTTGAGTTCATTGCGGAGTTCACGGGAGCGGATTCTTTGCAGTATGGATAAGTCTGGTCTTGAGCGAAGTTTTTTGTGGTTGGGATTGGTTTTTGCAATGGCGTTTATTGTTGCATACAACTCTACAAAATTTTGGGGCCACCGGGCCATCATTGTGTTTGAACTCAGGGCCATCTCTGATTATTTAAATGATATCTTCAGGAGAGATGTTTGTTGTATTTGAGTTGCTTATATTATGAACTTTGGTGATGTCATCTGATTTGTTGGTGTCTTCAAGAGCAAATAAGATGGCATTTTGACATTTCTGATCACGTTCCATGATGTCTCTGATGAGTACGGAGATATCATTTGTGGAATTATTTGATGGGATAGTAATTATTTGTGGTTGTGGTTTGGTGGTTATTTTTGGTTGTAGTTGTGTATTTTCCAAAGAAACAGAAGGCAAAACAAGAAGCAATGGATGGAAACTGAACAAAGAGAAGAGCAACCTAAAACTAAGAAGAAACTTCCTGACAGTAAGAACAATTAACCAGTGGACCTGCTTGTCTCCAGAAGTTCTGGGTGCTCCAACACTGGAGGATTTTTAAGAAAGACTGGACAGCCATTTCTCTTAAATGGTATAGGGTTCCCCCCAAGGTCCCTTCTAAGTGTTATTCTGACACCTTTCTCCGGACCTCCACTCAGATCCAAAATGTGGCTGTGATAGCTGATCAGAGCTCCTCTGTTTTTTATATGCAGCAGCTTTTGCTTTTAGGACAGAAGTTTCCAAACTTTGAACCTTTAAGACTTGTGGACTTCAACTCCCAGAATTCCTCAGCCAGCTCTGGTGCCTAGAGAATTCTGGGAGCTCCACAAGTCCACAAGTCTTAAAGTTGCCAAGTTTGGGGACCCCTGGTTTAAAATCAGAGCTAAGTTAGTTGTTTTTCTATTAATACATAATCCTTAAAAGGGCTCTCCTGCATGGTCGAATTCAGAACCTTTCTGGCACCAGGGACTGGTTTCATGGAAGATAATTTTACCACAGAACTGTGTGTGTGTGTGTGTGAGAGAGAGAGAGAGAGACAGAGAGAGAGAGACAGAGAGAGAGAGACAGAGAGAGAGAGACAGAGAGAAGGGGGAGGAAGGGGGAGGGAGAAAAGTATACAGTT